GAACGACGAGTGAGCGGACAGCTTGCCCAATCAGAGTCGCAGAATGCCGTGAGGGACAAATCCCCATCAGCGGGAAGAAAAAGTCCTTGACCAGGCCGAGATTTTAAATAGCGAAGAGTATGTTGAGCAGCATCCCAATGTTCCTGTCGGGGGGTCCCTATAAACTGTGAAAGAGTGTGCACTGCATAGGATAAATCAGGCCGAGAAATTGTCAAATAGATAAGCCGACCAACAAGACGTCTGTATTGGCTTGGTTGGAGAAGTTCCGGGCCTTGGGCGAGAGCAAGATGATGGTTCGCAGGAAGGGGTGTGCTCGCCGGTCGCGCTCCAAGCATGCCAGTCTCGGTCAAAATATCCAAGGCATACTTTCGTTGACATAAGAAGATTCCTTTTGAGTTTCGTGCCACCTCCAACCCTAAGAAATATTTTAATTGTCCCAAATCCTTCATATGAAAACATTCAGACAAGTAATGCTTGAATTTCCCAATAAATGACTCATCAGTCCCAGCAATAATTAAATCATCTACGTAGATCAAAACATGCACCACAACACCCCCCCCTGGCATAGGTAAACAGACTATAATCGGCTTTGGATTGGCGAAATCCAAACCTTTGTAGCGCAGAGGTCAACTTAGCGAACCAACAACGAGGTGCCTGACGCAACCCATATAAGGACTTGTGCAAACGACACACTAGGCCGTGATAGCGCGGTGCCGAACCTGGGGGCAACTGCATATATATCTCGTCCTTAAGATCTCCATGAAGAAAAGCGTTATGCACATCCATCTGATGCAAATGCCACTGGCGGGCAGCAGCAAGGGCCAGCAAAGTACGCACCGTGACTAACTTTGCAGTGGGTGCAAAAGTCTCTTTAATATCAATTCCCTCTTTCTGTTTATTTCCAAGCACCACTAGGTGTGCTTTGTAACGTTCAATCGAGCCATCAGACTTGTGTTTAATCTTGAACACCCACTTTGAGCCAATGGTCTTTCTTCCTGGAGGACGTGGGACAAGAGACCAAGTTTTGTTATCTTTTAAAGCTCTCAGCTCCTCCCGCATTGCCTCTCGCCAGTGGGGATACTTCACCGCCTCAGAAAAGTGTGTGGGTTTCGATTCTGCACTTATAGCTGCCAAGAAACATCTATGGAACAAAGAAAAATTGTCATAAGCAATAAACTTCGTAATACAGTGAGCAGTACCTGAGGGTGGATCCGGGGATGGTGAAGCAGCTTGAGGATGTTGAATGGTGTGAACAACAAAGTCTCATAACCGTGTGGAAGGTTGCCGCTCACGAGTTCCCCGACGCAAGCAATCAGGAGGGATTCTGGAGCCAGTGGGGCTGCCGGCAGGGACTATATCGGTAGAAACATTGTCGGAAGGAGACACGCCGACACCAGTGGGGTTACCGGGTTGGTTGGTTTCGCTACTGGTGGTGTCGTCGTCGTCCAGTGTGTGTTTCTCACTGGCGCCAGTGGGGCTACCAGAGGATGGACGGGACGCTGGGGTAGAGCAGATGGGTAGTGACGGGATTTCGTCGTCTTCTACAATCTCAAGGGATTCGGTCATAGTGTCATTCTGCTGTGAAGGTGGTTCAGGGGTGGAGAATGGAAAAGATTGTTCAAAGAATTTGACGTCCCGACTCACCAAAATTTTATTCGTTTCTAAGTCGAGGAGACGCCAACCTTTCTGACCAAAAGGATATCCAAGGAAGACACATTTGCGTGAACGACTTGCAAATTTATCACCACGATGATTTTGATTGTGTGCATATGCGAGGCACCCAAAGGTGCGAATATGGGAATAATTGGGAGGCTGACCAAATATGGTTTCATAAGGTGTTTTATTATGGAGTAGTGGAGATGGGGTTCGATTGATTAGATACCCGGCTGTCAAGATGCAATCTCCCCAAAACCGAATGGGTAGATTCGCTTGGAATCGTAAAGCTCGACCCACGTTAAGGATGTGGCGATGCTTACGTTCCACACGCTCATTTTGTTGTGGGGTACCGACACAGGATGATTCAAAGAGTATTCCTTGCGAGTCAAAGAAAGGTTTCAAACAGGTAAATTCTGTACCATTGTCACTACGAACTATTTGGACTTTCTTTTCAAATTGACGTTCTACCATAGCGAAGAAACTACGGAGAACAGAGGGGGTTTCATCTTTGTTATTAAGTAAATAAATCCAAACAGCTCGAGAAAAATCATCTACAATGGTAAGGAAGTATTTTGCCCCAGTTCGAGCTGGTGTTCGATATGCACCCCACAGATCACAATGAATTAAGGAAAAAGGGACAAGAGCTTTATTAAGACTTTCAGGAAAAACATCACGACATTGTTTTGACCGGAAACAAATATCACAAGGAATATTGGAGTCACTAATTTTAGAGGATTGTACTTGAGGCAATAGTTGAACAACGGAATGAGAAGGATGTCCTAATCTTTTATGCCAGGTCTCCACGTCTTCAGCAACCTTCACAGCATAGACTTTGTCGGTCACACCCTTCTGGAGATAAAAGATTCCACCAAGCTGCTTACCCATTCCAATCACCGTCCTCAAGGCATAGTCCTGTATAAAGCAAAGTTCATTAGCAAATAACACAATTAATCTTTTGTCCTTTAGAAGTTGCGAGACAGATATAAGATTGCAGTTAAGTTTAGGAACAAACAACACGTTTTCCAACACTAGTCTATCATTTAAAAAAACAGTCCCTCGCTGTTTTGCCTCGGCTTTTTCTCCATTGGGCAACCCAACTGAGCACGCTGTTATCCATTCGACGTCCTTCAGGTTCTTTATATCACCTGTCATGTGCTGACTTGCTCCGCTGTCAATTATCCAAGAAGTTACTGGTATACCTGAAAATTTATTATCAAGTGGCAATTCTTTTTCTTTCAAGATTCCCATCAAGGCATTCCACTGCTCTTTGGAAAAGCGTTCCCGCTCTCCATTCCCGTCTGTCCGTGCCGTGTGAGCACTTGGTCCTCCTCCATCAATTCCGCCGTTCCGGTTGCCTCGGCCGCCTCCTCCCCCTCGGGTCTGCCTTCCTCGACCGCGCCTAGCTCCTCCACTGTCGCGACCTCTTCCGTAGGCAGCGGCCTGTGGTCGGGGTCGGTCACCCCACCATTCCGGTAACCAATGATTTGAAAGCATCCACTTATCTCATGTCCAGTCTGGCCGCAGTTCCTACATTTGAGATCCTTGGTCACGTCTTTATTGTGAACTACCGCGAAACTGACAGGGTTCTTTTCTTCATCTTGTGTGACCTTCAATACTCCTTCTTGCTGGACGATCGTGGAGTAGACCCGATTAAGTGGAGCCAAAGGTACGGTGCTCAAAATATTTGATCGTACACTTCCATACCCCTCGTTGTCAAGTCCCATCAGGAACTGGTGCACCCTCTCATTCTCCTTTTGTATCTCGATTTGTTTCAGCGTGCCACAGTTACAGCCGCGGCACTTGGA